ATATATATATATATAAATATATATATTAGATAAATAAATATATTAATCAACGGTTTTTTTTTAGGTAGAAGATACATCGCTGATATTTATACATGCTATTAATTATAAGTCTCTTTTACCGTTCTTGTTCTTTGTTCGTGAATCTAGTTGAGTTTGGATCTTTTCTAGTAAGTTATAATTGTATCTTAATTACTAAAATTTTGAGCGTTTATTGTTTCATTTGCTTACTTAATTTTTATGTTATTAATTACTAATTAATATAATTATTTTAATATTGTTTTTTACTATCTCTTGTTCTGAATTTGTTCTTGCCTCTCTTTTCTCTAGATGTAACATTTCGATTTCAAGTTTGCTTTGCTTCCTGCACACAATTCATGTGCAAAGCGCCGGGAATCTCATCACAGGTACTTGGTGCCTCATCGTACGTTAACGAACAATTTTGCATGTCATTAATAAGACGATATACTTCCTCTTGAATATATTGCATATATGGAATATCTATTAAAAAATTGTATAAGACTGTTTCAAATTTCATTATTAATTTTTTATATGAATTTTTATTATTAAATTACTGTTCATAAGCATTTGATGGAGCATCCAAAGATTGCATGTCTGGATGTCTTAGTTTCTCCTTTTTCTTAATCTTTGAACTCTATTTCGTGTTGTAAGAGATGAATAAAAGTGAATATTTCTTCGATTTTAATATAATGTTATTTCATATGCTGTAAATTTATTTTCTATAGTATTGACGTACTTAATTTTACTGTTATTACCTTTAACAGTTCCAGTTTGCTTTCCTTTCTGTTGAATGGGATATGAGGAGTCTTTCCCGCTCAAATTTCTTGGTCCTTGCTTCGACTGATTTGTACTTTGCACACTATTCGTGTTCACATGCGAAGCATTGGAAATCTCAGCACTGGCATTTGATCCCTCATTTAACGAACTATTTTGCATGTCGTTAACAAGGCGATCTACTTCGTCCCGCATATATTGCATGTACGGTCCATCTATTTAAAAATTATATACAAGCTTTTGTTTCTAGTTTCATCAATAATTTTTTAATATGAATTTTGTAGGAATGTTTAATGACTACTGTTTATAGCATTTGATGGTGTGCCCAAAGATTGCATGCCTTGATGATTCGGTCCATACATTATCGGTCCGTAATAAGTTGGATTTAAAGGATGGAAAGTGTCCTGTGTACAAAGAATTATATAATTATATAGAATTTAACAATGATAAATTATATAATTATAATTACTTTTCTATCTACTACATACCTCCAAATGCAGCAGATGTAAATTGTAAAAGACATTCGATGTCAATGAATCTAAAAGAAATGTAAAATCATTTTTTTCATGGTATAATATTAATATTAGAATGTTAATAAATACATACGATCTATTTGACCGGGGTTGTGTTCCCCAGTCATCGAAAAATTTCCTGGCATGTATGGATAATAGGAATATGTATTGTTATCTGGAAGAACGTAAGATACGTTTGGGTTGCCATATATATTTGTTTGCGAGTTATCTGCAATTAA